AGTATGTATGTTTACTTATAAGTTGTAATAGAAATGGAAAGGGTAGTAGATCCCATTTTTTTGCACTGTTCGTGGCTGTCATTTTAACAGTCTTCTGTTAACTATTAACAGAAGACTGATTGGAAGGCTTGTCAAAAGTTATCTGCTGCCGACATCAAAATCTTTCTTTTCTCACTTTGATTTCGAGCTATAAAGACACACCTTCCGAAATAAGTATATAGAATTATTTTAAGGAAACCTCTTAAAGTAATGTAAGTATAAAGAGAGCTAGATGTGCTAGGTTATCGAGTTACTATTTTATTATGTTTTTATTAAAGTGCCTTGGTTCTATCAAATCAAAGTAATCCAATACGTAGAGCTCCGGATTTTGTGTATGTATGTATATGATGTGGCAAGACAACGGAAGACACTACTGAACATCTTAGGTGCTGAACGCACGTGGTCTCGAAGCCTAGGCAAATTGGGTGGTATACTCCACAGTAACTCGAAACCGAAAGAGCTGTAATAAAATCGCAAAAAGAAAAGGGGGACTCAACCTCTGAAAAAAAAATATCCGAAAAACAGTTTAAATTTTAGTAAATACCGAAGTCAAAAACTAAGAGAAGGAAATTTTATAAGGTGACATACATATGTATGCATGTACATACATATACATATGTGTGTACGCGTTAATTCTAGAATTTGCATTTAATGCCTAGCTAGATAATGAAATCCCGGCCTAGTCAAGCTAAAAATCATCGCTGTTAACCATACATGCCATTAAATGCGCTATTGATTTCTATTTCGAGTGACGATGTACTTACGTCTATTTGTATATAGCCTTATGCGCTTCATGTCGGTTTGAGTGAATCTCACTTCATATGCACATACCTACATATGTATGACTGCCTTAATATTAATAGCAAAATAATTCTCCAAAAAGAAGCGGCGGACAGAGGAATTGCTGGAGAATTTTCTCCGCTAAGCTCCTTTTAGTTTGACGACGATCGGGAAAAAAATAAAATAAATAATAATAAAATCTGAAAAGTAGAATGCATATTGATTCTAAGGAAAAAAAAGTTTTTGTTTTATGCAGGTGTATGAATAGCACTGCACGTGTATAGGGTAAAATATTATATGCGGAAAGCGTGAAAAAAGGAAATAGTAATTGGGAAAAAAAATAAAAATAAAATTTTTTTGTAAAGAAAAGCAAATAAAAGAATATGCGGCAGTAAAAAGAAAAAAAAAAGAAATACCAGTGAGAACGAAGAGATGGGCAAGTTTTAAATGTAACTATTTTTATGAAAGTTCCAGCACACCTGCTTGTTGGAGTCATCGGCAACATCAACATCCTTGGAGCGCTTTATAGGAATGCTGTCACCACAAATTGAACATATGTAAGTCTTACAATTTTAAATTTTCATCTATTGCTTGTTTCTTTTCTCACTGCGTTTTCATTAATGTTTATACTTACTTATATATTCATATGAAAACGTAGTTGCTGTCAAATTCGATTTCTCTTCATTTTTTTGTACATACATAAGTATATAAATAAGTACATACAAAGTAAAGTACTAGAGTAGCGTAACATTTTTTTTTCTTGAGTAAAATACCCAGCAATTGGAGTAATATTGTTTGTGCTGATTGACTGGCTAACTTTAAGTTTGACTATATTTTATTTGAATTTATTATATGAATAAAATTTGGAAATGATGAGCTTGTAATTTAACGTTTAATGGTCTGAACTCTAGGATGGTTGGGTAGAAGTAAAAGGGGGTTCAAATTTCACCAAAAGAACCTAGGATGGGCGGGCAAGGACAGACCGAAATATCTTTTCATGCGTCTGTGTATGGGGTTTTCATCGAGCGGTATCCAAATTAAATTTCACTCCTTTTTCTTATATACGTTTTTTTTCACTTGTTAAAGTGTGCATAATAACTTATGTTTTATTTTTGTTTGAGTTGTTGGGTTGCGGTCTAAATAGCGTGTATTGTCTAGGGGTTATAAGCGAACCTACGGTGACTGAAGCTACGGGCATAGAAACCGAACCAGATGCACACGAATGCGTAGCCTCTAGACATTCGCATGGGTGTATATCATCTGAGCAGAAAGTGTTTATTGTAGATGCCTCCCATGCTGGCCCAGCAATTTCATAACAGAAAATGGCGCCCAACGTAGGGCGTCGTAGGTATGTTGTTGTAGGAATTATCTTATATACATACATAGGCCCGAGGCTCAGCTGATTGTTGTTATCGGAATTTCGATTGTGAAGGCTGTAAGTCTTATAATCATGAACGAACGAATAAAGATCACCCAGCACGGCGTGCGAGAAAAAAGTTATTTTTTTGCAGTGACGTCATTTTTTCGCCGCCATGTGAATGAAACGGAATGAAACCTGTGTGTGAATGAAAGAACCGATTAAAAAATGACGTCATCAAACATTATTTTTTTCTCAAACGTAATTACAAATACACGGTTGCCGTGCTGGGTGATCTTGTTAGTTGTTTCATGATAATCATACCAGAAACAAGACATTAAAAATATTTCCCTTAGAAAACCTTGAAAATTTCTATTCAATTTTAGTGAATCACTTCTACCTAGTAGGTTTTGTTCCCAAGAACGTACTTATATACTTCTTATTTATTTTTTTTATCAAATTTTTATTGTCGTAATCAGTTAAGATTCGGATAACTAAGTGTATGGAATTTTGATCGTACTTGGCTATATGCTAGTCTTTCTTACCAACAATTAGCGTATCGTCCTTAGTTGATTAAGTTTCAGTTGAATAGTTGCAAAGTAACATGTATTGGAATTTAGCGGTTTTTTTTATTAAAATCCCACCATATTCTGAAATTAGTTTGCATACTAGCCGCTTTTAACATTTTTTTTTGTTTCCATTAGAGGAAACTCCATTAATAGTATTTTTACACATCCATCCTAAGAAAGTAAGACCAAAAAAAAAAATAAATATATATATATATATATATAATTTAGGCTTTTCTTTTGAGAGGAAGCCCGGATTCTAGAAGTAGCAAACAACACTGCTAAGACAATAGCTAGATTTGTTTTAATATATGAACATACCTATATACTGTTAAAAACTCGATTGTTATATAAGAACTTAACACATTATTAGTACCCTTGAAGGTAATTTGGTTTCCTAAGCTACGAAAATGTCTGTTCGTCAAAGCATAGATAGTTTATCCCTATTATGTTTGATATGTCAGGAGAATATATCTGATAAGGATGACGTTTTGCGGACAGCATGTGCGCACCTGTTTCATCGCAACTGTCTGTTAAATTGGCTAAAGAGGAATACCTCATGCCCTCAATGCAGAGCGACATGTAGTAGTAAAGAGTTGACTCATAAGACTAGCGGGGTTAAAACTAGATCTCAAACAGCCTTAGCGACTGACGAAAGTGAATCTTCTACTTCGCAGGCTGCGCGTAGTAATATTAACAATCCACCAATGCAAGAAGTTCCAAATAATATGGCGAACCTAAGCAATGCTCAGTCCACACCTCAGAACCATAATGAGGAGGGGCGTATACGTAATATTGTTTCAGCAATCATATCAGCTAGACAAGCTACCATGTTTGAAAGCTTGGAAAATCGTTCTATCCAAATAGTTGATCAAAGGCTGGAAAATTCTATGTTAAATGCACTAAGTAGACTTAACATAAACCCGGCTCAGGCACAAGAAAGTGTCAATCGAAATGATACTTGCCATAATCATAATAATCGAACACAACCAATTAGTAACGCGCCAATAGGTTCAGAAAGTTTAAATCCCAACGCACAATTTCAGAGACAGCTCGATAATATCAGATTTAGTGATATTATTCCGACTTCCCACTCGAATAAATTCGCGCACTTGATTGCAAGTTGGGATAGCAAATTTGATGCCACCCCTCGTCGGTTGACAATTTTATATATCGAATAGAGTCGCAAGTTATTGATACCTTAAACGGCAATTTCAACATTTTGTGTGAACACGCTCAAAGCTTATTCTCTCTGGAGGCCAAGGATTGGTACTGGCGATATAGACGTACAGTCGATCGCATAACATGGCCATCTTTATGTCAAGCACTACGGCCGAATTTCTGTGAGCATCAAACCGACACGGATATAAAAGAATCCATGCGGGCACGTAAACAGGGACCGTCTGAACTATTTGACGTTTACCGCAATGCGGTACTAAAAATTGCGCAAAATCTTTCTAGGCCACTACCAGAAAACGAATTGGTTGAAATGTTGCAAAGAGGTCTTAGGCCCAGAGTACGTCAAAGTCTGCTCTATGTTCCTATAAACTCCTTAGCAGAGTTGCGAAAGCACTGTATAAAAGGCGAGAGTTTAATAAAGGAGATAATGAATTCCAACCCAAATACCAATTCGAACAATCAACGATTCAATCAACAACGTCGACAAGTTAGTGAGATAGAGAACGAACTCGATGTAGATGACTTAGTTGGGGCTGATCCTATAAGTGAAGTAGAAGAAATCAGCAAAAGCTCAAAGTCCAGTTACTTGGTTTGTTGGAACTGTCGTCAAGACGGGCACCGATATTTTGATTGTACAGGTGAGCGAACAATATTTTGTTATGGATGTGGTGCTGCGGGAATCTACAAACCAAACTGTTGCACGTGTCATCCGGAAAACTTAAAATCGAACGAAGGTTTGAAGACAAACCTTCGCTAGGACCAAACAAAGAACAATTGAAGTCACTAATATCACACTATGATGCTGGAGTTGAAGTAAAGGTGCTCAAACCACAAGCAGAACCTAGAAATAGAAACTTGAATCTACATAATATTATTCCGTACGAACAGAGACTAGAAAAGTACAACAAGATAAAAAAAACAGATTTTTGAAAAAGGGTTGGTGTCGAAGCGACCTACACGCTCAACTACCCGTCTTAAAGATTATTGGCAAATTGTTAGAAACAATCAAAAACAACTATCGCGTACAATTTCTTGTATTCGGAATAAATCGAATGATTTGCGTCCGTATGCCGAAGTCAACATAATGAACAAAAAGCTTTTAGGTTTATTAGACAGTGGAGCGCAAGTTGCGTGTATAGGAGGTAATCTAGCACAGAAAGTTTCTACCGACCCAAATGTAAAACGACATCAGATGCTTGTTCATACCGCAGATGGTCGCGAACAAATTGTTTTTGGAACTTTGTCTCTTAAAGTTAATTACAAAAGCAAAGACAATCTGATACAATTTTTTATTGTACCTAGCTTGTCTCAAGAACTAATTTTGGGAATAGACTTTTGGAAAAAGTATCAAATAGCCCCTAACTTGATTTTTCAGATTGATGTGGAAGAAAGGAAAGATAGTTCTGAAATTGAGTTAAATGAAGAAGAGAGTAAAACACTTGAACGCGTTAGGCAATTGTTTCCAACATACGAGAGAGAAGGTTTGGGGAAAACATCCTTGATGGAACATAAAATTGAACTGGCACCCAATACAAAACCTGTTAAGCAGAGGTATTTTCCAATTTCACCTGCAATTGAAAAACTCGTGCACAAAGAGATTGACGAAATGTTGCAACTAGGAGTTATTGAAGAAAGCCCCAACAGTCCCTGGTCGAGTCCAGTGGTCCTGGTTAAGAAGCCGAACAAAGTGCGTCTATGTCTGGACTCCAGGAAAGTGAATAGTTTCACCGTAAAAGATGCGTATCCTTTACCGCATATCGAAGGTATTCTCAGCCGGCTTCCAAAAGCAAATTTCATCACTTCTTTAGATTTGCGTCACGCGTTTTAGCAAATACCTTTAGCCGAAGATTCCAAAGACTTTACATGTTTTACGATACCAAACCGTCCATTATACAGATACAGAGTTATGCCATTTGGGTTGTGCAACGCACCACAGGCATTGTGCAGACTCATGTGTCGCGTAGTTCCTTTTAATATTAAAAATCAAGTGTTTGTATATTTGGACGACCTTTTAATTGTATCCGACAGCTTTGACACACACATGAAAGTTTTGAAAGAAATGGCCAAATGCTTGAGAAACGCAGGACTTACAATAAACATTCAGAAAAGTAAATTTTGTATAAAAGAAGTTAAATACTTAGGATATGTAGTCGGCAATGGCACGCTTCGGGTTGATTCCGACAAAATATCAGCAGTGGCCAATTATCCACCACCTTCATCTGTTAAGCAACTCAGACGCTTTCTCGGTATGGCAGGATGGTACAGGAGGTTCGTAGATAATTTCGCAGCAGTAACGCCACCTTTGACAGATTTGCTAAGGAAAGGGCGTGGTTTTAAGTGGAGCGACGAAGCGAAACGAGCATTTGAGGTTTTAAAGGAGAAACTTTCTACGGCTCCAGTCTTAAATAATGCAGATTACAGCAAACCTTTTGTTATCCAGTGCGATGCTAGCAAATTAGGAGTAGGCGCTGTACTATCCCAAAAGAATGAGGAAGGAGTAGAAGTACCGGTGGCATATTTTTCTCATAAGCTCAACAAAGCACACAGTAACTATAGCGTTACAGAGCTGGAATGTCTGGCGGCGATGCTGAGTCTTAAAAAGTTTAGGGCTTACGTAGAAGGACAGGTAACTGATCATGCTTGCAGTGGCTAATGAGACAACCCGATTTATCCGGAAGATTAGCACGGTGGTCACTTAAGCTTCAAGGTTTTAAGTTCAAAGTTGAGCATCGTAAAGGTACCCAAAATGTTGTACCTGACTGTTTATCACGCCAAAACTTCGATGAAATGGCTGGGATAGAATATTTTCCGCTGGTTGATTTGCAATCCAAAGAATTTCAATCAAATGAATACGAAAAACTGAAGCAGACTATATCAGATCAAAAAGACCGATTACCTGACTTGCAGATTATTGATGGACATATTTATAAGCGTACGGAGTGTGCTAATGGAAATGAAGAAAGCGAAAAGTGCAATTGGAAATTGTGGATTCCAAAAGGACTAGTTGAGAATGTTATTTCTAACGCACATTGCCCACCTAACAAATGTCATGGAGGGGTAGCGAAAACTCTGGAGCGCTTGACAAAGAACTTGTACTGGCCAAATCTTACAGCAGACGTCAAAGACTTCATAGCAAAATGCGAAATTTGCCATCAAAATAAAGCGTCCAATGTTCCATTAAGCGCGCCTATGACTAGACAATATATAGCGAAGCATCCATTTCAAAAGCTGTTTATAGATTTCCTGGGACCGTATACACGGCCCAAGCAAGGAAACATCGGTATAATCATAGTCCTCGATCAGTTAACTAAATTCCCTCTGTTCAAACCAAATAAGAAATTTACATCGACCGTAGTTTGCGATTATCTCCAAGACAACGTCTTTACCGTTTTTGGAACACCACAAGTCATTGTTAGTGACAATGGAAAACAATTCAAATCGTCTCAATTTACCGCATTTTTAAGAGATAGGGGTGTTCGTCCTACCTTGACAGCGCTATACAGTCCTCAGGCTAATGCAAGTGAACGGGTGAATCGCTCAATAATTACAGGGATAAGAACATATATAACGAAAGACCAACGACTATGGGATATACATTTATCGCAAATCGGAGAAGCTCTTCGCAGTTCGGTTCACCAAGCTATTGGCTGTACACCTTACTATGCTTTATTCGGTCAGCAAATGATATCGAATGGCCAAGATTATGAATTGATACATAAACTACAATCGCTCGACGTAGAAGTTCTGGACAGAAATAATAAACTTCAGTTAATCCTTAAAGCACTAAATGACAATATAACTAAAGCGTTTGAAAATTCCGCCAAAAGGTATAACCTAAGAAGTTCAAATAATAAATTCGCGATCGGGGTTTGGTTTATAGACGTAATTTCGTACTAAGCGACGCGTCTAAGAAATTCTGTTCGAAGTTCGCCCCGAAATTTATTAGAAGTAAAGTAATAGGCATAAAGGGTAATTGCTTATACTATTTACAGGATGAAGAAACCCATAAAAAGGAATTTTATCATCAGAAAGATATAAAACCTAGAAGGATTTAAACTGCAACCTTCTTTCAATTTTTGCAGCAGAGCCGCAAAATTTGCCCTGTACTAGGTTGCCGATAGGAACTTTTGTTTGACGCGGCATCTATGT